TGTCCTTCTTGGACATGGAAATGGTTCTTTTGAAAATCAAACAAGGTATCCAGTTGGCTCTGCTCCACGATCTGTAGTTGTTGGTGATTTCAATAACGACACTCGACTAGATATCGTTGTCGCCAATGCAGGTAGCAATGATGTGAGTGTCCTTCTTGGCTATGACAATGTAATTTTTGTAAACCAAATGATACTGATAACTGGAAATGATTCTCGACCACAATCTTTAGTAATTAGCGATTTTAATAAAGATGGTCTAATGGATATTGGGGTCGTTAATTCACGTACCTACAATATTGGTATTTTTCTTGGATATGGAGATATCTCTTTTGCCAATCAAGTGACATATTCAACTGGCCTGCATTCATCTCCATGCTCTATGGCTGTCGGTGATTTCAACAATGATACTCGAGTGGATATCGTCTTTGCTAGTTGTGAGTCTGACAGTATTGGTATTATTCTTGGACGTGGGAATGGCTCTTTTGGAAATCTGATAATCTATTCAACAAACTTCAATTCGTCTCGATACTCTTTAGCTGTTGAAGACATTAACAATGATACTATACTAGATATTGTCGTCGCGATTCATGATACCAATTATCTAGGTGTACTTCTTGGGCAAGGCAACGGCACATTTGCAAGTATCATCTTATTTCCATTGGAGTATGGATCCCATCCATTCTCTATTGTCATTGGCGATTTCAACAATGACAGAAAACTAGATTTTGCCGTCGCTAATAATGTTACTGACAGTTTAAATATTTTCTTGCAGACTTGTTAGTTTTTCTATCTCGTACTTTATATTTTTCTATCATTGACTTATTTTGTATGCTTTCATATCGAGTAGAACCATAGTTTAAATATTCAAATGATTTTTTGATGGCAAAAGATGAGTGGGAAAAGGGTGTGGGTGTGCATGGGGATGTCTGTGTGGATGTGGGCACTGGGTTGAGAATAATACACCCGCACCCAAATCATGTCGATCAACTCTCTTTCCCCTACGATACCTATTCGTTCAACGAGATCATTCAGTGTATGTGTCTACACTGTAGAAATCATCGTGTGACGAAGTGGGTGGAACGTGCAAACAAGGCATTGTCGTGGCTGGTGGTCAAGAAGAAGGAAATGAATGGTGGGTGTGGGTGTGGGTGTGGGTGTGAGTGTGGTTATGAGTGTGGGTGTGGGTGTGGGTGTGGGTGTTCTCCAATCGCACCCAAACCCACCCCCTACACCCACACCAACACCCGCACCCACACCCACACCCGCACCCACACCCACCCACACCCACACCCACACCCACACCCACACACCCACACCCACAACCCACATCTTGCCTCTGTATGAATGATTTTCACTTTTTTTTTTTTACAATTAGACATTAAATGGTGTTGATCTAAGTAAAGTT